ACTTATAGTAGGATGTGCTTTTTATGGGTTCAGAGTGTGCCTTTTGGACTACAGCTGTGAAGAACTGGGGATTGAAATGTGATTGCATAGTGAATACTTTTTTTTTTATAGCCCATGCATGATGACTATGACCTGAGGCAGGAGCAATTGAACAAAGCTTCCCTTCTTTCTTCAAAGAAGTTTCTAGAAAATCTACTAGAGAAATTCAATTCCCATGTGGTGAGTCACATTTTGAAAACAGATAGCTTCTTTAACTGTGTTTCCTAATTGCAATGAAAACACTTCTGTCATACTTGCTTATACCTTTGAGTGGATTTGTACGTGCAGTTGAAGTCAGAAAATACAGCTATGTCCGGCACTGAAGCCTGTTCCAAATAGGTTTGGGTCTCGACAGGTTAGGATGTAGCTGTCTGTACTGCAGAACTTGTGTCGCATGTTTAATATGGAAACTGAGTGTTCCTTTTAACTAAAAGGATAGTGTAAACCGATACTTATGAGATCAAAACTAGAAAAAGTAATTTGCAGCACACTAGTACATGAGGTCATGAGTCTCAGATATGCTCTAGGAGGCAATGCTTTACCAAATTATTGCCATGCTCAGAGTAATGGTGTATTTTAAACTTGTAATTTTTGTTTGCAGACTTATTTCATGGTGTGACAGAGAGGAGCACCTTCAGCGTCATGAGTACTGAATAAAACTCTCATGAATCTCTCGGGCAGGGGAGAAACACTGTATCTGTATTACATATGTGTCTTCCTAATTGCAGGATCATGGGACAGGTGCCCTAGTAATTAGTTCCCTTCTGGACTTCTTGACATTTGCCCTGTGTGCCCCATACAGTGAGACTACTGAGGGGCAGCAGTTTGACATGTTGTTGGAAATGGTGGCATCTAATGGAAGAACACTATTTAAGCTCTTTCAGGTAAGATGTAATCTTTTTTAACTTATTATTATCAGAGGCCTTAGGTAGTCAGTGAACACAGACTTTTTCTTCTTTTCCTGAAAGATAAATTTGTCTTCTGTTCAGCTGGTTAATGTGCCTAAAACTATTTTTACCTTGGCGAGTTTTAGTGACCTATTGCTTTACCTTCAGATGTCAGATTAGGTGGTAATTCTGCAATGATTTGGCATATCATTCACTGCAGAATAGATTAAGACTTGGTTTTAGAAACACTTTAAAATGCCAGTTAAAGGTTAAGCTAGATTCAGCAGATGCACAGATCTTCTCTGTGGAGAATCTGCCACTTTTTGTTTCTCTCTCAGTAAATGAGAGTTAAGAGTTATGAGTAACATCCTCTTCAGTAGTAAACCTGTAAGAATTCTAGGATTTTTAGCTAAAACTTCAGTGCTTTTTTTCTGTAAAAACAGTATGTTCTTCTGCTTCTTGGTTAGTGTCAGCTTGTGGCAGTTCCCCCAGTATTATTCCAGCTTCTCTGGTATATTCTGCTGTTCAGTGCCAAGAAGTCCACCTGATAGCTGCATGAGAGGTTCTTGTTGAAAGGTGTAGGATAGGAATTCTTCCTGGGGCTAGCTTTCACAAAACTGAAAGATTAACTTTTGCCCAGAACTGAAGGTAGAACAGCCATGTAGATGAGTTAAGGAAACTGAATCACAGATGATCTAATCTTCAAGTTTTGCACTTGGATAATGATTTTGTCAATGTTCTGTTTTAGCACCCTTCCATGGCAATTGTGAAAGGAGCAGGTTTGGTAATGAAGGCGATAATAGAGGTGAGATTTTGTCAGTGTTACCTGGGATAGCATACTAAATATGCATTGTCTATTTTGAAAGAGCAATTGCTTACCCATAGTAGAAGTCTGTTTTATTAGCTTCTCTTGGAGGGGGCGGGGCGGGGGGGGAAGTGGGGAAGCTGAGGAACAGAACACCTGCTTAATTGTGAGTGGTTTAATATAGCAGCTGGCTTTACCTTACACTTGGGGGTCTGGAAGGCATGTGAGTTGGGACATGAGGTAGTACCTTGCATGTTCTCGTACTGCAGTCAGGGTTTGGCTGTTAATGTTGTATGTAGCTCAGTCACACCTCTCGGAGCCACCAGACTTTGCATGTTAAAGAGGTTCTGTCAAGGAGAGGCCATATTTCCTGGAATGCATTGCCAGATGGAATGGGACTGGGATTAGCTGGCAGTAGTGTCCCAGAGGAGACTAGTGATGTGAGCCTCTGTTCTTGCTCTTTCTGCTTCAACAAAGGACAATTTGGTTTTGTTAGTCTCCATACCACAAGATGTATGGGCCAAGTCCATACACTTCTCAAGGGCTGCTTATGATTGTTGCAGGGTGGCCTTGCTAACTGACTCTTGACACTTAGTGTGTTGAAACTCGGTGCTTAAGTTGGTGCGTCTTTGTACCACAATGGCTTATGCATCTGAAATGCATCTAGTACTTTCTTGGAATAGAAGTGAATGAACACTTGAAATAGAGGTATTACAAATCTGCAAGTTTCCACTGATACACCTGAGAACATGAGCCAAAAGTTGCTATGCTGTTTATTACAACTTCTGTCATTTGAACTATAGTGGGACACAGGAAAGTAAAAATGCAGCAAAAGCTTTTCCTTAATTATACATTGTGACTAACATATCTCAGCTGAGTGACAGTCTTATCCATGTGGCTGTCTAAACCAAACAGCACCAGTTTTCTTAAATGGTTACTTTGACCAAAGTCAAGCAACAAGCAACTACTTGTGGCTGTCATTCTGTGTTTAACCCTCATTTGCAATCGCAATGTGGAAATGGTACTTGTACTTCCAGCCTCCTGATCTGTGATGGGAGACACACATCTTACCTTGTCTGGTTACTGTCCTCAGAGCTGTGACTGCCAATTATCTGGTCCATGGCTTTACGACTTTTGATCAGTTCATGTTGAACTTGCACTTTAAAGCCTGTCATACTATAGCTTCTGGCTTTTTGGTATTATTTGACATAATTGATGGTCAAGAAGGCCTTGGAATTGTAGACTAAGATAAAAGCAGCTTAACTAAGATTCTTTCTTTAGTAATCATCTTGCCCTGTTTCCAAAGGAAGGAGACAAAGAAATTGCTACCAAAATGCAAGATCTTGCCCTCAGTGAAGGTGCCTTACCTCGTCACTTGCACACTGCTATGTTTACAGTAAGCACAGATCAGAGGATGCTTACAAATAGGTATGTCAGTCTCACTTGATGTATCATGTTTAAAAAGTCTAAGTAATGGCCTAGCTAACATTAGAAACATCAGGAGGTCAGGGAAGAAAGCTTGCAGTTCTTTAGGAGAATATTTTCTTTGATAGCTGGTATGTTTAAGTAGAGCAAGCTTCAGCTGAGACTGCAGCCACTTAATAAAGATCTTATTATTTTTTGCTAAAATGGGACTTGGGTTGGTTACTCATTAAAGGCTCAAGGTTTGATTTTTATTTATTTCTGAAAACATTCAGGGAAAGAAATGGCAAGTAGAATGTCTGGAACTTGTATGATAAATTTATACACTTGTAAAAAGGCTTAAATTCTGGTATGCACACTTTGGACATCTTGCATGCAGTTAAGGTCACCCATCCTGGTTGAGAGAGAAGTTGTCTCATATGGAAATCATTCCATAAATTCAGCAGTCATAGAACTTGCTCTTGAGAGAGGGCCTGAGGGTGTGCTGAGGAAGATGAGTGATGATTCAAGTATTTCCACCTGAATACAAGAGTTTAAAAGTTTTAACTGCATGGTCCTGGAGCACTTAAAGGGTTGCTACGCAATGTAGTGACAAGTGGAACTTGTTGCCACTGTGTCTCATTCGGGAGAGATCTAGCATGAAACCTTGTGTCATACTAGTCCTGTTTGGAGCTACTAATGACTTGCTTGTAAGCAATAGTTCAGCTGAGTGCAGTAGAACCCTTGTGACAAATGTTATCAGAAAGTGTTGGCATAGAAGGCAGGCTCCCAAAAATACTTTCCTAGCCAATAACTGGTATTAAGAGCTTCAAGTAGGACAGTTAACAGTTCTTGATGGCTTCTAGACTCTAATGTAAGATTAACTGGATAAACTTACACTTGGTCGTTAGATGTTTAGTTTGTGCTCTATTGCTCAAGTGTTCTTTTGAGGTGTAGATCAAAAAGCATGTGCTGCTACTCTTCCACTAACTTCACTGGAACTTCTTAAAGGCAACACTTTAAGGCATGCTAAGCATATGCTTGTACTGGAAAAATATATGATGCTTTGTGCTCTTATGCACTCAAGAGCACGAAGCTCTTGCTTATCTTCATTTCACCAGCATGGTAAGGGTGTCAGTTTAGTGGTTTAAAAATCTGCTTAAAATACTAACTTACAGTTACAGTTGATTTCAATGGCTTTTTCAGGCAGTTAAGTAGACATTTGGTGGGCCTCTGGACAGCTGAGAACAAAACTGCTATGAACTTGTTGAAACGTATTTTGGTGAGTAAACTTGAGATATGGAGTAGGAGAAGAATAAAATCTGAGAGCCTGTAGTATTAGAAAGTTTGGGATAGTCTGTATAGTAAACACATCCCCTTTCTCCTCCAAGGGGGAAGTCTAGCCTGGGAGATGGGCAGTCTGTCATCTGCGATTTGAAGGTTGTTGAGGGCTAATACAAACATCTTGGATTCTTAAAGTATTCTGTTACTTCCCTGCCACTTTTATAAATGGTGTATGACACAACTTAAATAAGGTGTCTGACTTTTTCTTTATTAAAAGCACAAGAATGTGGGGGACATAGTAAACATAGTCTCTAATGCATAGTGTCAGGGCAACAGTTGTCTATGTTTTCACGCCCGTCCAACTTTGTGTGCTTATAACATAGGTAAATTTATGTATTAGCTGATACTTCCCATGTTCTTTCACCCTTACAGCCTCCTGAAAGTTTCTTCCTTAAGTTACTTGAGTGAAACTAGTTAAAAGAATGGTGTTGTAAGGAATGTCTAAACCTGGAAAAATAGCAGCTTTTAAATTCAAAATAGCAGTTCCTTCATTTTTGGCAGAGCAAGCTGTCCTGATCTTGGTCACTGTCTTCCGGAAGACTTAGTCAAATGAGACTGTCTCATCTCTAAAGTCACATGCAACATTCAATCCGTACTGGAGGATATGGATGGATTCTAGTGTTACAGTATTCATCCTCCTCTGACTGCTGTGGGATCAGCTCTCATCTTCCTGCAGTCCATAGTTTCATTAAGTGTTCCTTTAAGAAATGGGATATAGGCAAGACCTCTGCTGTACTGAAGCTAATTACATGCTTCTATTGAATGGTTCTGTTGAGGATGGTGGCATTTCATTAATAAAAGCAAAGAGCTACTTTGGCTTTACATACTTGCTTTAGAATAGAAAATAAATTCTGATTTGAAATCTCTAAAGAAAAATCTCTGAAGAAAATTTCTTGTTACCTGATGTGATGGCTTCTGTTCCAGTAGCTGCATGTATATTTACACTGGTTTTCAATGTTTTTAGCCACCAGGTTTGCTGGCATACCTTGACAGTGCTGATCCTGTTCCTGAAAAAGATGCCGATAGGATGCATGTTAGAGATAACTTAAAAATTGCAACTGTAAGTAAATGCAGCTGTATAACCCCCTCTGTTATATAGTCTTGCTGACTTTTCTAATACAGACACCTGACTGTTGCATTGACTTGCATCAAACATGTTGATAGACCTGCAACTGTCAATAACTAATAGGATTTATTCTGCAGGATCAGTATGGCAAGTTCAATAAAGTCCCGGAGTGGCAGAGACTTGCTGGAAAAGCTGCGAAGGAAGTTGAAAAATTTGCCAAGGAGAAGGTGGATCTAGTCTTGATGCACTGGAGAGATAGAATGGGCATAGCTCAAAAAGAGGTAAAAGTGTTTGAAGCTCTTAATTACAGCAACTTGACCAAGTGTAGAGAGGAACACCTACAACTCCATGAAATCAGGGAAGCTTGACAGTAACAGAAGTGTTCTTTTTAGTAAACTCTCTGCCTCTTACCGGTCTTCATCTTGGGTTGGAAATGGGTTCCACGGAGAATGTAAAGCAGGCAAACAGATTCATTTACCGTATGTATTAAGCCCTAGCTTGTTCTTGCTTTAGCCAGACTGCAAACTGGCCTGCAGCTTATGTGCACATCTTCCAAGATAATGATACAGGAGAAGAGTAAATGCCTTGAAGTGTGGCAAAAACCAGTCTTTAAAGCACGCTTGCAAGGAACTCTGGATATTCTTTATGCTAGTGGTGTTGTAGTTATGGAACCTCCTTGAAGATCTTTAGTATTACCTTAACTATAGTTATCTTAATGCTTAAACTGCAGCATAAGACTACACATAAACCACAGTTAAGATTCAAGTGATAAGTGGCTGTTGTGATCTGATGTTCTCAGAGGATGGCTCAAGTACTGCTTGAGTTTTTACTGTTGGTCTCCTTTTTCCTTTTATTTTACTGTCATGTTTTGTATGACAAACTTCTTGAATTGCAAGATGTTTCCCTTAACTTTTTTTAGTCTCCTGGCTAAGCTTGTTTTTATGCATTCTGAAAATTAAAAACCGAAACAAGCTATTCTATATGGAAGGATCACTGCAGTGCAGAGTATTGAAAATGCCTGCCTTCATACTTTATTTGACATAACAATAAGCTTTAATTTAGGAAAACCTTAACTTGGTAAAATCTAGCTCAAGTTTGATGTGGACTGTGGTGCAGAATTTTGAGGGGTAATATTTGTGAAATTAATGGTGAACCTACCATTGTTCAAGGCCAGGCTGGATGAGGCTTTGAGCAACCTGGGCTAGTGGGAGGTGTCCCTGCCCATGGCAGGGGGGTGGAACTCAGTGATCTTTAAGGTCCCTTCCAACCCAAACCATTTTATGAAATATGGAAAACGGTGGTAGAAGGGCAGATTTCACTTTAAACGTCTTGTCTAATACTAAGTTTAAGCAACCATTTTTCTGTCTGGAGTTGTGAGCTGTTTTTCACAGTAAATATATCCAAATGTAGCTAGACAAGGGTAGCAGCAAGTTTGGTATTACCACTTTGAATTTTTTCAGTGGCTGTGGCTTGTTAAATGTACCTTTTCTTTTTCTTCCAACTTTCCATCATGATCAGGACAGAAACAATATGGTGAGTCTGTGTATCTCTGACACTTGTGTGGATTATGTTGCTCAGACATCTACTTGCATGTGATAGCTCATGTAGAGTATAACGCTGAGTTCCTGCTTGCTCAAACTAGGGAACCTTTCAGTGGCCCAGCTGGGTTTTTGACTTATTTCTGTGACTTGCACTATTATTTCCTTTCAAGAGCGGAGCATTCTTGTGGGTTTCCACCACTATCAGCTTTGAAGCTGAGTGCTTATGGTGTTGGGCACTAAGCTTTTCTCAGTGGTAACTTGCTTCTAAATGAATGATTTGTTAAGCAGCTGAAAGTTTCTCTGGCCTGATTTAACTTGATGTAAATAACACTTGTGAAAGTCTGTTGCTGCTACTTGGTAGAAGAGAAAACATTATTAATGCAACTTAATTTACTGTGGCTTTTGAGGGAATAAAAAACCCCAGCTTTTGATTTTTAAAAGGGGAAAATGAGGGCTATCTGTTTCTACTAACTTCTTAAATTTTACTCTTTTGCAGAACATTATTCAAAAGCCAGTGATATTAAGGAAACGACGCCAAAGAATAAAAATAGAAGCAAACTGGGATCTCTTCTATTACAGGTAAAATACAAACATTAATGTGGTGGTCTCAGATACAAGTTACTACTTGGCTGGATATTTTTGTTAATATCTTCTGAGTTGCTGTGGCTTGATTCTGATTTCTGCCTGCCTTGAAATGGTGCAAGTACTTTGTAACAGGAACTTAACAGAAGGGAAATCCTAAGGTATACTTAAGGATTTAGCTTGTG